CCTTTTGATAAGCATAAGGCCATATTCCGCACTGATCTTACTCAACCTTCTCATTATTTGAACAAGTTCTTCTTCAGAGCATGAATTAAGGTGTCATCGGCATACCTAAGGTTTGTGATCTTTTTTCCACCTATCGTTAGTCCGCCTCGCCAGTCCGTAAGACTTTTCTCATTATGTACTCTCCATAGATGTGAAGAGTATAGGTGATACTATAGAACCTTGTCTCACACCACGTTTCGGACTAAAAGACTTAGAGAGAGCGTTGTTGACTTTGAGTTTTCCGGAGCTGTCTTCTAAAGATTTTTAAGTAGAAATATGACATGTTTTGATACTCCCATGTTTCCTAACACCAGCCACAGCTTCTTCCACTTTACACAATCAAAAGCCCTACTGTAGTCGACGAAGCATAAATAGGTTTTAACATTAAATTCATAAGCTTTTTCAATTATTTGCCTTATTTAAGATCTGTTTTTTGTTCTTTTTACTGGCATAAACCTGGCTCAAACAATTTCATTAGTAACATTGTAGAAAACTCACCCTGGATATAGGTATACAAGTCCTGTTATAATTTAAAATTTTAACTTTCATAGGTAGTCCAGATGCAATAATCGTATTTTATCTAAAACTATCTAATCAATAGAAAATTTGCTGCCAATTTAACACTATAGGCCTTTTTCCTACATACCAATAAATATTATTTTTGTTACCAGCCTACACGTATGTGTTTCATATATGGTTATTAATCTAATATTTAGTAAAAGCGAGTAAACCACATCAGCCAGTGCATGCATGCACTTTCTTTAAAATATCTGGGTAACATTCTCGAAGTTGTCAAATATGCATTTTAAAACAGATTGCGGCATACATACATTTCATTTAGCAATTAAATATTTATAGGTTTCTAATACCAATATAATATAACTAAACACCTTCAAGTTTTTTCGTTTTTATAATTAATTATATTACTGTGACATAATTATTTATTAATACTTAAATAATTTATTTTTGAGCCATAGTTTTATAGTTTTACATAGTCAGATCATCAACTAAGTTATTATTAACTTTTATTAAAATTTAAAACACTGATGTTCAGTCCTACCTAACCAAACCAAACCAAACTTTAAAACTGTGCATTTCTACATTGATGAGGATTGATTCCGATTTGATGAGGAATCAATGAGTATTTATTTAACACTTTGGTCGGTTAATGGTTTAAAAAAATTCACAGATTTTGCAACATGCGCAACCATCATAGGCGTATTGAAAATACCAGACATAAGTCGGCGGTTGTCGACAATCACCTGTTTTTTTACATTTTATATTAACTTGTGGCGTCATTTGGGAGAGCTCAATAGAAATATAAAAGAACTAAACCTTGTTCGTTGGAAAGCAATTTGACATTCGTGACGTCAGCACTCCGGCAGTCTAACGTAAACGTATCATTGATCGCTATTCACAAATATATTCCAGATACGTATAGTGAACAAGTTTAACGTTCCCAACGTTAAATAATTTTGATATTTGATTTTTATCGTGATGGTTTTGTGTAAAAGTGAAGAATTTAGTGAGGAAAATATTAATGATGGATATGAAGGTGTGCGGATTCGTGATTGGTCACGAACACGGTCACGACACTATGACGAGCTCCTATACCCACGTAGGAGCCCAAAATATGCAAAAAGGGGTCAGTTTAGCTTAAGTTTAGATTAGGTCTATATTTTTTATTAATGCAAAACCAACTAAAACCTAATTCTAATCTAACCTAAACTCACTTCTTCTTTTGCATATTTCGGGGTATTACCTGGGTATTCCTAGGTTTAACCAATATTCGAACTTTGGTGTAAATTTAAATTTATGGATGGCCCATAAATTTATATTCGCCGTACAAAAAATAATTTTCACCAATTTTCACAATAAAAATTTTAAAAAAATGAGGGAATAAGGGTGAACGGGGTGCCGCGCCGGTAGACCAAGAAGATACTTGGAATGTAAATGTTAATTTATACTCGAATGGAGTTGCCTCACAGTATAGGCATATTTTGAACCCCTACCGTGCATAGTTACTGTAGATAAAAATAAATTAAAATATAGTTGGCTCCAACGATAATTTAGTTTGCAGCTTCTTTTCATCATGCCTAATAAAAAACCGTCACAACCACTACTCATAATATGTACCTATGTATTTTTAAACACCATTATTATTATATGAAATTAAAAATACATAGGTGCCCATAATATTAGTAGCGGTATTTTTTTTTCGTTTCATCATAACGGATTTTCTTGTGCTGAAAATAAGCAGCAAAATATATTATCGATTGCAACAACTATACCTAGTTTACATTCAGTATGTCCAATTAATATAGAACATTATAACTATGCATACTTTTAAAAATTTGCTACCAATATATTTTGATAGTTGAGTTTTTGAAATTATTTGTTAGCTTCTTAAACAAAACAGACCCATAATAATTCAAATCTTTATCATTCAAGACTTCCAAGAATTATGAAGTAATCTCACGTCATTTTTTAAAATTATTGCATGCCTTAAGTATTTGCAAAGTTAACAAAAATTTTTCTTTGCGTACCTTGCAATTAATATATTTAATCCATTTCATCAGTTCTGCATCATATCCGAAATTTAAATTGTGTGTGACACAACGAAGAGTTAAAGTCAACGTGAACGACCAGAAAAATATCAAGTAAAAAAAAATTGTTAAGTTTTAATTACTAGTTACGCAGTCCTTCCCCCCCCCCATATTGGCTTCCCTCTTGCCTAAAATCTATATTGTCTTTCCTTTTAACATTTTAAATATAAATGATTGAAACTCATACAAGTTTACCATAATTTAAACTTAAGATAGTCCCTAATTATATTAAAATATAACATTTACGAGGTTGATAAATATTAACTATTTTTACTTATTTTTAATCATTTAATAATTCTGATAAAACATGCTTGATTTTTTTATTTTAGAAATCATACGGGCTATAATAATTAATATGACTATATTAACAATACTTAAATTAAAATTTATTTGAAGGAATGCTACTGTATTACAATAATTGTAAAACACGTATGTAATAATAACTTTTAATAATATAATAATTATTTAAAACTGCTCATCGCGTTATCGATGTCGGCGTCTTGTCACTTTTATTTAGTCTTGTCAGTATTATTTTATTAGCCGTTTAGGTATAGTTTGATTTCAGATAATGCAGATTTTAATGTGCCATTTGTGGTTTTTTTATTAGATTTTTTTTGCATATTTGGTATATTCTATGATTTTAAGTGCTCCTGACCATTTTTCAATTATTAAAGTGCCTATTTAGATACATTTAAAATGAATTAATTAGTGTATAGTATTTGTATTATGAGTTTGTTTATTTTTTATGAGATGTATTTTTTTCCCATTAAAAACATAGCTTACTAAATCACTAGCTAGCCATTTTTAAATACAGGGTGTTAATTAAGTATCTGGCCAAACTTCAGGAGGTGATTCTTTGAGTGTTTTAAGGTAAAAAGTTCATATAAACATGTCTCCGGAAATGTATAATTTTAAAGATACAGATCAAGGTGTTTTCTAATAGACCTTTTTTTATTAATATTCCAAAGATCCGTTGGCCGATTTTGTTGAAATTTCGCCATGTTGTGAACTTTGATAAGCTAGCACTAATTAAATGATAATTATTATGTACAACAATATTCAAAGGATAAAATCTTATCCCAATAAATATTTGGCAGCGCCTTGGATTCATGTGTTTTTACGCCTGTTGGCGGTGGAAACCATGCAAGCTTTTTCTTTGGCCTAAGTTGTTAATTAAAAAAATAATAATCATAAAAAATATAGGTCCTCATAGCCTAAATTTTAGCAAAATGTATCAGCAGATCCGATGAGATCCGAGTTATTGCATTAGTCTAAATTTATTATTTATGTGATTCCACGCTTTCACGTATAATTTGCCCCTTGCTTCTCATACGGAAAGAGTTAGATTAAAATAGCCAAACTGTACCTAACAATTCATATGCCTTGACGCATATTCTTTTTTATAATAACATGGGCTTTCTTTATCCGCCGGCCCAGACAAACATCCATATCTATAAAATAGATGGCCCACACACACACACACACTGATAAATTAATAAGACCTCATTTCGGCCCTCAAACGTCCTTCGATGATCAACGGCTAAACTATCGACTTACGTGTTGACAAGTTGATTAGGCAGGTTATTGAACTCGTGTGGCATCGAGCATGTCGTTTTTTTAAAGATGGGTCCCATATAAACGCGGCCAGAAGTATTTTCAATACTAAAATTAAAGATTGCTATTACGAGTAGACTTGGATTAAGGTAAATACGAGTAAATAAATCGCATCAAAGACGCCGAAATCAACAAAATAATATTTTTTTATAACTTTTAATCAGCATCAAATCGTCTATACAATTTTGCTAACAAGCGAAAGAAAGTCAGTGGCGCATATGTTTTTTAGAAAAATATTCAAGTGATAACCCATACGCATATCTCCGGTTAATCGGTCGACACTTTTTAAGCATTAATGCTTAAAAAGTTAAAAGTTTAAAGGTATTAGAATAAATTAATCGTTTGTATTTAATTTTTTATTAGAATGGTCATTATCAAGAAGGCTACTGATATTGAGTAACTAATTGTGAAAAATGAAAATCCAACCCTATTTCCAACATTTTCCATAAACGCCCTGTGCGGTTTGAAGTTTAGATGCAAGATCCGGCAATACCGCATAGAAGAAATGTATCAACCGAACTTTTATCTCTTTTTAATACATTTTATTTTCCATTAAGTTAGTACATCACTGTTTCACAAGTTAAAATCCAGACCACACTTCTAAAATGACCAAATCGGTATAAGGGAGGCTTGTATGATATTTAAGCAATACTAGAACATTGGAAACTCTAATTACATGTGATAATTGACATCCTCGAAATTTTTCTGTTTTCAGTTTTATGATCTTTAACTAATACTTACACACATCAAGCATATTCCTATGATGATCAATCCCAAAAGGGCTGCCAACCAGCGACCCATTTTGTGTCCTAATGGACCGAATAAGTTCGTACCAATTAAATACGAAATGCTCGCCGGGAGGAAGGTTACTCCTTGTTTCCATCTTCCGGCACCCATTGTATCCATCATCCAGATAGGAAGTGAGGGTTCCAGCATTGCGATACCCATGTTTGCAAATATGATTGCGCCTAGCAAAAAAAGTGTTTTAAAGAGAGAAATCTTATTGGCTAATATTGTTCGTTAATTAACTAAACCTATTATGATGTATTTTTTAATAAATAAAAACTATTAATGAATTGAGTAAAAAGAAACTTGCTTGTAGATAGACAATAATGGTTAATTACCACTTGGTTTTGCATAACCAGTGTTTTAAATGTTATTACGAAGATATCTAAGTTTCTAAATTATGTTCCCTGACTGTCTTTACAAGAGGAAAAATAGTTTTTTATTATTGACATCTTGAGAAAAATGCATTCTTCATAAAAAGCTTTGCTTGTTCTAAAATGCTTATCTAATCATAAAATAACAAAAAACAATTTTTGCAATAATGGAATTCGGGTGATCGCCATTTTAAATGTTAACAGCCTTTGGTTTGCGACTTATTACCAAATACATTATATTCTTATTATTTTGGGGTATAAACCTGGTGTTCGGTAAGGAATTGATTTCCAACCCTTAACTCGGTTACCTATTAATTATAATTTATTTTAGAACTTTTGTTAGAACTTTTACTAAATCACACTTACAACCATCAGCCTGGAAAAAAAAATATTTCCTGCAGTAGCTGTTTTATTGACCAGTCTTCAGAACCTTACGTTACAATATATATACTAGGAGAAACTATCATCCGAACAAAAGAATACGAACTTCCACTAGCTTCCACCTTTATAGGCTTTAAGAAGGCTTTGTTTTATATATGCTTTTAAATATGGTGGGAATAACCAAGAGAGACCATAAAAGACTAGAGTGTATACGACAAAAGACTCAGGTAACAAATGTCAACAACAGAGTCAAATCCCTCAAATGTCAATGGGCAGGACACCTGGCAAGAAGAACGGACGACAGATGGACCACAAAAATTACAGCATGGTACCCGCGAGGAATTAAGAAACCTAGAAGAAGATCTAACCTGAAATGGTAACATGATAATTAGGAAATTAGCAGAGATAACTTGGGCCCGCTTGGCGAACAATAGACAACAATGGGCCCAACTACAAAGAGAGTATGTAAATATGTCAGGGAGGCTACACCAAAATTGGGAATGGTTGAATAAGCTGAAAATGATGATGATGATGATGACGATACCTACCTATATCATGTACCTTAGTATAAAACTTTATTTAAATCACTCACAAGTCTAAATCAATCACTATGAAGTTTACCAGAATATTCCATGGGTGAAAATATCAACTTTTTATCACATCAGGTCGAGTTCAGTTATCCAAGACGATGTTTTATGTACGAATGTTTAAAGTGAAAAGACACAATTTGTTTAATAAATATTCCAATGAATACCAAGAGGAAAAATACTGCTAATATCAAGTATTTTTTATTGCAGTGACGGTTTAAACTGCATATATATTTTTGAAATCTCTATTTAAAGGTTCTTTACTGTACAAAGAAATATATAAAAAAGGTATTTACGAAAACATTTATATTATATTTTGCAAGAAATACAAGGCGTGATAATAAATAAGTACGCTAGCAGATCTCGACGACAGAAAGATATTTTACTTTGAAAATTAAAAAAAATATATATTTTTCGCTTAAATTTTGAGAACCACTGGATCTTTTCTGTGTTTTCTTTCTTGTAAATTTAATCTACTACCTATATTATGAAGATATTATGTTTTTTAACTAAAAATTTAAAAAAAATCAAATTTTCAAAATGTTTTTTTCGCGAAAAATACCTCATAGACCCCTCTATACACATCACCCTCTATACATGTGTATATTATTAAACCTAATTGTTATTCTTGTTCTACGCGTTTAAAAAATATGTACTTGATAAGGCAAATTCGGGTTGTTCTTATTTTAAACCATATTTTTAGTCTATGTTTTTAGTTTCACTATTCTATATTAAGATATCCATTATTCTACCATTGTATTTTAAATTTGACCCATTTTTGTTTCAAAGTAATGGCCTAAACGACTTAAAACATACAATTGCATAAAAAGGCATTATGTCCTATACAGAGATTTTTATTGGATAAAAGGAAAGAAAACTTTTTTCCATATATCAGTTTTATTTCTAAACGATTTACTATCGTTTTGAGGTTGAAATTCCACCTCAAAACGAAAAAATAAATATTTTCAGAATGAAGAAAATATAATTAATTTAGTATTTTTGTAATAACCTTTGAAACACATTTTTTGCAAAATCAAGTTGTATTTGTTTAATCAAGATATACAGTGTAAATCCTGTAACGGCTAATGGGCATTTGCAACCTACTTCATACGATTCTTGAGCTATCACTATTTATAAAAATATAATATCCATATTAAATATGGCATCCTATTTTCACATAGAAGAAAAATTATACACAGTATGTTCCTGGATTGTCTTTACAAGAGGAAAAACTTTTTTTATTATTGACAATTTGAGAAAAATGCTTAAACATTTTTGCTTCTTCTAAAATGGTTTTAGGAAAATAGTAAAAACTCTATGAAAATATGGATGAATTTTTCTAAAGCTCTAAAAACCAAAAAGCGTTTCTATGGTAATATAATTTCGACTTCATTCTGTGATTAGAGATAATTATTAATGATTTTGATTAACGTCATATTTTTTGCTGTTGTTAAAGTATTAATTAAAACTATTATCACCCTTTCCGTAGCATTGAACTAAATAAATTTTGTGTTTCTTTAACATTTTTAAACAGCAAAAAATATGACGTTAATTAAACTTCTATCAATAACAATCTATCAAAGAATGAAAACGAAATTATATTACCATAGAAACGCGTTTTGATTTTTAGGACCTCAGCTATATTTTCATGAAAAATTCAACTATATTTTCATGAGTTTTTAATATTTTCCTAAAACCGTTTTAGAAGAAGCAAACATTTTTAAGCCTTTTTCTCAAATTGTCAATAATAAAAACAGTTTTTCCTCTTGTAAAGACAATCCAGGAACATACTGTATATAATTTTTCTTCTATGTGAAAATAGGATGCCATATTTAATATGGATATTATATTTTTATAAATAGTGATAGCTCAAGAATCGTATGAAGTAGGTTGCAAATGGCCATTAGCCGTTACAGGATTTACACTGTATATCTTGATTTAACAAATACAACTTGATTTTGCAAAAAAATGTGTTTCAAAAGTTATTACAAAAATACTAAATTAATTATATTTTCTTCATTCTGAAAATATGTATTTTTTTGAAATTCCACCTCAAAACGAAAAAAAAGTTTTCTTTCCTTTTATCCAATAAAAATCTCTGTATAAGACATAATGCCTCTTTATGCAATTGTATGTTTTAAGTCGTTTAGGCCATTACTTTGAAACAAAAATGGGTCAAATTTAAAATACAATGGCAGAATAATGGATATCTTAATATAGAATAGTGAAACTAAAAACCTAGACTAAAAATATGGTTTAAAATAAGAACAACCCGAATTTGCCTTATCAAGTACATATTTTTTAAACGCGTAGAACAAGAATAACAATTAGGTTTAATAATATACACATGTATAGAGGGTGATGTGTATAGAGGGGTCTATGAGGTATTTTTCGCGAAAAAAACATTTTGAAAATTTGATTTTTTTTTAAATTTCTAGTTAAAAAACATAATATCTTCATAATATGGCAACATAGGTAGTAGATTAAATTTACAAGAAAGAAAACACAGAAAAGATCCAGTGGTTCTCAAAATTTAAGCGAAAAATATATATTTTTTTTAATTTTCAAAGTAAAATATCTTTCTTTCGTCGAGATTTGCCAGCGCATTTATTTATTATCACGCCTTGTATTTCTTGCAAAATATAATATAAATGTTTTCGTAAATACCTTTTTTATATATTTCTTTGTACAGTAAAAAACCTTTAAATAGAGATTTCAAAAATATATATGCAGTTTAAACCGTCACTGTAATAAAAAAATACTTGATATTAGCAGTATTTTTCCTCTTGGTATTCATTGGAATATTTATTAAATAAATTGTGTCTTTTCACTTTAAACATTCGTACATAAAACATCGTCTTGGATAACTGAACTCGACCTGATGTGATAAAAAGTTGATATTTTCACCCATGGAATATTCTGGTAAACTTCATAGTTTTTGTCATAATAGATATACAGAGTGATTCAAATAAAGTTTTATACTAAGGTACATGATATAGGTAGGGTATCGTCATCATCATCATCATCATCATTTTCAGCTTATTCAACCATTCCCAATTTTGGTGTAGCCTCCCTGACATATTTAGATACTCTCTTTGTAGTTGGGCCCATTGTTGTCTATTGTTCGCCAAGCGGGCCCAAGTTATCTCTGCTAATTTCCTAATATCATGTTACCATTTTAGGTTAGATCTTCTTCTAGGTTTCTTAATTCCTCGTGGGTACCATGCTGTAATTTTTGTGGTCCATCTGTCGTCCGTTCTTCTTGCCAGGTGTCCTGCCCATTGACATTTGAGGGATTTGACTCTGTTGTTGACATCTTTTACCTGAGTCTTTTGTCGTATACACTCTAGTCTTTTATGGTCTCTCTTGGTTATTCCCACCATATTTAAAAGCATATATAAAACAAAGTCTTCTTAAACTCTATAAAGGTGGAAGCTAGTGGAAGTTCGTATTCTTTTGTTCGGATGATAGTTTCTCCTAGTATATATATTGTAACGTAAGGTTCTGAAGACTGGTCAATAAAACAGCTACTGCAGGAAATATTTTTTTATTTTCCACGAGGATGGTTGGATGTGTGGTTTAGTAAAAGTTCTAACAAAAGTTCTAAAATAAATTATAATTAATAGGTAACCGAGTTAAGGGTTGGAAATCAACTCCTTACCTAACACCAGGTTTATACCCCAAAATAATAAGAATATAATATATTTGGTAATAAGTCGCAAACCAAGGGCTGTTAACACTTGTAGCGGTATAAATAAAATGGCGATCACCCGAATTCCATTGTTGCAAAAAAGCGAAATTTATAAATTGAATTACCAGGGCCATCTATATATTTGTTTA